GAACGATCCATGACTACTCATCACTTTGATGGTTGTATGTTGGGTGTTCTTGGAAACAACGGTCAACCAATGAAGAAAAGTTGGACTATTGCAGGAAATTTTAAAGAACTCACCGTGTTAGACTCATTCAAATGTGATGGCAAACATGAGCATGATCAAAGTAGGGGCAAAGCTCTTAAACTTGCTGAGAACTATACCTTCAAGTTGACTGACATGCTCCATGAGTGTTTCCGGGTAGCTGTGGTGGGCCAAACATCCAAAAGGATTTCACCCGTTGTCATTCGTGCCTGTCCTGCAAAAATGGCTGACTCACGATATGCCACAGCACACCCGGCCAGCCGCGAGGCTGCGCTCGAAGCCACACGTGAGGCTAACAAAGAAGCATGGTTGCTCCTTCACAATCGCATTTTGTATGCATTGGCCATGCGCAATGAAGGTGAGAATCAGGCTGCTCAGGACCTTGTGGATGGTTTGATGACCGAATGGACGCCGGCTTCGGCCCTGAGGTTCTATGGTCGAGAGGATCCGCTTGCAGAATACCTTAGTTTCTGCTTTTTGCCAAAGGAGTCCCACATCGAAAAGATCATGCTGCCAGAGATGCCCGTCAATGACGTAATCTGGATCTTAGTCTCTGACTCGTCATGTGCATTGATCACAGGGCGTAGGAAGACACTTAAGAAGTTTGATCTATCCGAGCACTACCGACAGCGCAAACCCAAGTACGTGACTGAGTTCATTCACGAGATGCTTTGGGGCAAAACTTTGCAGAAGTTGGTAAAGAGAGGGATCGAATTGGCCGCGGACGCCCGCGAGCGCTATCCTCATGCACGCATCAACCTGCACTTGTCCTGGTTCGGAAATGAATTGGTAGGAGAGGATGGAATTGCCCAAAATCCAAATTGGCCGTACGATGGTCCCAACGGGCACTGGCCCACGATCCTGGATGATTGTGAGCGCCACTTGACATGGTTCATCAACAAGGCCCGGGAGTTGGACTTGCAGACGGCCGGTCTCACGACCGCGCCCTGGAGCGCAGATTACGGCATTCATCCAATTTTCGATCAATTTTTCGACCATTTGGAGCCCCGATTCAAAGCTCTAACCAGCAGCCTGCAAGGGCGTGCCAATCCGCGGTATCCGTGGCTAAAAGCAAAGGGGTACGCCGATGCAATGGAATTCAGAGACCAGTGGCATTTCGCCAACTCTGAAGAAAATCGCACGCGCCTTGCTGCCTATTGGACAGCTACCCTTTTCGCACTTGATTCCGGATGGCGGGTCGGCCAAATTGGTTTGGAGCTTTCTGAGTGTGCCCAGGAGACATGGGATGATTTGCGGAGGAACATGAGCGCCGTCCTGGACGAGCTGCCAAGATCCTATCAGGAGACATGTGCAAACATCACCAAGTTGCTTTTTGGAGAGTCCCGAAGACACATTGTGCCGACGGGCAGGTCATTCACCAAGGAGGACGTCGAAGCTCAACAACCTGACACTGAGGACTACATCGACATCAAGACGATGCCTTCGGGCACGTTTGCTGAGCCTCCCAAAGATGACCCTCCAAAGGCCGCCGGCGACGGCGAGCCCGCTGCATCCAGCAGAGCAACAATCCTGGTCCAGACAGCTGAGGTCATGTTGAAGTCGCGGCCGAAAGCAGCACCAGCATCAATGGATGAGCCCGCAGATGACAAGGGAGCCACATCCAGCCAGTACCAGCCGCAGGCAACTGCGCGCTTCGAGGGACAAGCATCTGGCCACGTGAAAGCATATTGGATGGAAGAGCATTTGCCTGAATACCAATATACAATGGTGACCAATGCAGACGGGGACGATGTGCCCGGCATCCTCTTTGAAGGTACGGCTTATGAGCTGGAGCTGATATCGGCATCCGACGTTGAGACCATTGCCAGCCAGACTCGCGTCGACAAGAAGTTTTCTGATTTTGCGACTCGTGTCAACAAAGTTTGCAGGGGGCATGGATCCTGTGCCAAGGTGCCAATGGACAAAGACCTTTGGATTGACTTGGAGGATTTCGCCAAAGCCTTCCGCAAGGAAGTGCCCCCAGATGTTTTCATCACTGTCGCAAACCTGTTTGGCACCGCAATGAAGATCGACAAGCATGGCAAGAGTAGGTTCCAATTCTTGTGTGCAAAGATTTCCCATTTTCCTGTCGACAATGGCCTAGGCATGCCGTATTATCCTGTGAAAATCCGTGCAATTCAGGGTCACTCCGAAGCTGCCTTGAAAACCGCAGGGGGTCTTTATGCCAATTCAACCATGGTGTATTGCTCAGACCATGTATCCCCCGAGCGAAAAGCCGCCTTCACTGGCGTGCCCCTGTGTGCCATGACTGAGGTTCCTGAGGTTGTCTTCCATCGCACGATGAAAAGCAGCTGGAAGAGCATCGCACAGAATGGCCTGATTCCAGGCGGCGGTGCAACAGTCAACAGTGGCCGTGCCCATATCTACATGGCAGAACACTGTATTGGCACGCAGGGGTATCGATCTGGATTAAGAGCAAAATGTCCAATCGAAGTCAAAATCGCAATGCGGCAAGCAGTTGAAGCCGGTGTCATCTTTAGTCGCACAGAAATGGATGGGATTTTGTGCTCAGAACGCATCCCACCGCAGTTTCTGGTCAGCATCTCAGAAGAAGGACAGGTGCTTTGGTCCCGCGCCGAGAGCAATCTCGAGCCCAGCACATGGACTGGCGCGGCATCAGCCTCAGCACCGAAAGCCAAAGCGGTCACCTTGACTGCCCGAGATGATGCAAATGACGACCCAATGGATGACACCAGCACGGGGCGACCCGATGCCAAGTCCACTGATGATGATGCAGCCACTGCCTCAATGCAAGTTGACCAGCCGCCCGCAAGGACGCGCCGTGTTTACATTGCACCCAAGTACTGCGAACCTTTCATGGGCTCCTGTCCCCTCTGCCAGGTTGAGTACGTCAGTGGCCAAGTGACATGCACCACATGTGGTTTTGAGCCACTCCCAGTGGACGAAAGTGGCGATACAAAAGAGGCCAACAAACCCAACAGGAGGACCCGCATCCTTGAACGGCGAATGCAAAGTCTCGCCGGGTTCGGAATGTTTGGGAAGATGAGCGGAAGCTTGCTGACAGCCTTGACGGAAGAGCAAGCCAACCTGCTACGCCGAGAACTGGGCCCCAGGGGAATCACATCCGTGGAATCAGCAGTCCTCAAAGACTGCCGCGACAGGCATCGACGTGCAAAAGCGCTGGGCTACGAGGACGTGGAAGACAGATACTCCAGCGACGTCACTTTTTGCGACCGCATCCACGGTGAGGGGAAGGACCTGCAGGACTGCATATTTGACGATATGTTCGCATATGGCAACCTCCCCGATCCCCCAAGGACCAAAGCTCAGATCTCGGCTGGCGTCGCCGCCAATGCCCAAAATGAGAACTGCTTATCTAAGTTGATTTTCATGTCTCAGCCTCGTGGCGTTGATGGCTTCCCAGTTGAGTTCCGCAAAACATGGAAGAAGGTCTGGGGTTTCATGTTTGGCCGCCACATTTTTACAGAGGATGAATATGTCAGCTACATCGGCCGTCGTGGCGCATTCCGTGGCCTGTTGACCTGGAAGGGTACTGTCCAAGTCCCTCTTGATGGCACTCGTGATTTCCTCGAAAAGGTGTATGAGGAAAACCTTCCCTTGGTTCGGAGCAATCTTGAACGCAAAGAGAAGCAGAGCGCCGCTGCAAAGGCTGGAGGTCCTGGAGGTCATAAGGCCGACCCCACGGTCGCGCCCACCATTGAGCGAAAGCGCAAAGCCGAAGCTGATGCATCCGCAACCGCACCAGATGTCACAGCCGCCTCAAGCTCTGCTCGCGCAGATGCCTCGCACGCTGATGCCCCAGCCGCACCATTTCTGGTACCTGAACCACCAACATCCAAAGCAGGAGCACGACCATTCTTGGAGCCTGAGACACCGCCCACTGCAAAAGCAGCAACCGCAGGAGTCACTTCGAAGGCTGCAAGCTCCGGTCGCCCGGATGCCTCTTGGAGTTGGAATCGTGATCACTATGGTGCACGCCGAGAATGGAGTTTCTGGCGTGGGGCTTGGTATTACCGTGACGAGGCCGGCGGCCGTTGGATCTTTTGGAACCGTTAGGGAGACGATGATTTTCTTTTGTAGCATAGCGCAAGATGTGGCATGGTAATGTGCCTTCCTTGCAACGCTGCGCTGGGTTTTACGGGCTTGAGCTTTTTAGAGGGACCTTTGAAAGACTGCACAAAATGTCTAAAACCAACTAAAGAAATTTGGCTACCCGCGAGGGTATGCTTTTCTGGGTTATTCGTTCTCCGCAGTCGTCCCTGCTCGCCCGAGGGGGGTGTAAAAACTCCTGCAGTAATACCATGTATTGTATATATCATCGATCTGCCCGATAGCGTTGGTTCAAAAGAGCTGAGTGCTTAACGGTGTTAGCTTAGTATTTCACCCCATTGTCGGTTGACCTGGTAAAATACAGAGGTTTAATTTATTTTAATTTGTGATTCGCATGCACCGGGCGCGTCAGACTCTTGTGATTTGCAGGCAATCAGCACTTCAGCCAAATCGCACCACTGGGATGTCGCCATTGGCGTTTTGGGTTCCATGGTGTTCAAGGCATGGCGAAGCCTGATCTCCCTGCCTTCCCAGAAAGGAGAGAAGTGAAGACTGAAGATCTGACGCTTCTTTCAGTCGTGGGAATTGGCATTCAATTATGTGATTATGATATGTTATGATTTACCTATTAAAAATGGTGATATCATATCGTCACCATTCAAGTTGTTATGATATGTTATGACTGTTATGATATGTTATGATGTTTGGTCAATTTTGGTCATGAATTTTGTATATTTTTGTGATGTATGCTTCCAGCTTTAACGATGTTCCGCTGGTGCGCCCGTCCACCTGTGCAGGCCATCCACGACATCATCAGCTTCAATTCCGCCATCAGTGGCCACTGGAGGGCAGCATTTCTGTTGGAAGAGATGGCAGGAGATGATGCCATCCGCATGCCGGCACTATCATGCCATCTGACACTGGACTATGCACATTTCGGTGTTCTTGCTGCAAAACCTGAGCCAAGTGGATTGGTTTCGAAGATAGGTGAAGTGTGTGCAGAGTTTGTCCCAGATGGTACGTCGCACATTGGGTTTCCATATTTTCCATATTGCTCTCCAACATTTGTGGTTTGGGATGGTTTGGACTTGTGGAAGGACTACGAATTTGCGCTGATGCCATCAGCCACAACAGTGCCATGGCTGCCATGGGCGCCTGCAAGTCGTGGGCAATGGCAAGTGAAGTGCAACGGTCAATGCAACGGAGTATCTCTTCGGATGTCTTCAGCAGCTGGGCATAGCTGGGCCAAATGGGCCGAGTTCATCCGAGTTCCATGGTTTCAGATGCTGTGAAATCAGGCTACTCCAAAATCCCAGGGGAAATCCCATGGAAAATTTTGTGGGTTAAGAAAATCCTTACCCAAATTTATCAAATCATGTCCAATATGTTTTCAGCCATGAAAACGGCCATGGGATCTCTCCCATTTTTGGACCAAGCCATGTATCTGAGGCTTTAACACTCTGCTGAGCTCGTAACCTGGCTGATTTGCAGAAGATCGCAAGACATCGGAAGATCCACGTCGTTGAAATCAGGGGATCTGCAAGTGATGTGTGCAGTGTACAATGTGTTCTTGGAAATTAATTTAAGTTGATGTGTACACATTTTTCTGCAGATTCTGAGGTATGCTTCAGCTGGCTACTGGCTGAAGTCTATACAAGTCCTTGCAAGCATGGCAATCCGATCTTTGCTCGCTGATGTCGTGAGCCACAATGTGGCTTGGAAGATTTCGCGCACAATGCTCGTCACCAGTTTTAAGACAGATGATTTCAGGTGAATCCAGGTGAATTTCATGGTTTTTATCACGGTAAATCCAGGAGTCTCCCGGAACGGTCCCCAATTTCCAGCAATTTCGAGGCAGCGCTCGCCAGTTGTGCATGGCAGAGCCTGTGGCGTTCGGCGCTGGCGGTGTCCAGGAACTTCCACGCTGACCAAGTGACCATCAACACGGTGGCTGGGGATGAAATATGTCGATCCAATGGAGGGTGATGAGGATGAGGATGGACCCTCCATGAATCATGTAATTTACGATAATTTACGGCATTTTTTGACTGATTCTAATGGGGAAAATCTGGGAAAATGATGGACAATGAGGAATTAGACCTGGCTATTTTGGTGTGCCTAAGTGTCATCGGCTGGTGGTTTTTTCCTTAACCTTCCACTCTTCAGATTCTTCACGGCTTTGGGACAAGCAACCTTTTTACAAAACAAGGTGGGAACATGAACAAAACAACACACAGAAACCAAAACAAGGGAAAGAGGAGTAGCTTCCAGTAATTTGTTTCAAGAGTATGTGATATTATGTGATATTCATTCTTTTTGGGAAAGATGGACGGTAAACATGGTAAACGATCCCCATCAACCTGGGAACATGTTCCAGATGTTCCACAAGCCTGGGAAAAGCCACCAGATGAGTATCATCGAGGTCATCTCAGCTTGTGCCGCTGCTTCTCGATGGCGAAACGCCATGTTTACCTTGAGTCGATGTGAATGTGATGTGATTGGTGGTACTGCAGCCTTGAGTGCCTGCGGAGGCCCAATTTTGCAACAATTCTGCAGCAATTGTCAGTTTGAAAAGTCCTGTTTGATTTGTCGAGACCCTATTATTTTGCCAAGTAGAGAATACATTAGGCCAACCGGCCAATCTATCATGTCAAGGAGATTTCAGGGAGGCGCATGCGAGTTTTCCCGCACACTTTGGATGAAGTTGCAGGTGACCAATGGGACATGGCGCTTCAGATGTTGTCAACAATGGCAAGACGACTTCGAATCAACATCGTGACTCTGAATGCAGCTCTGAGTGCGTGGGCCCCAGGGCCCCAATCCGAACATATCCGAAGCGCTGCTTGACGGCCGCCATGGATTGAGGTTTTCAGTGTCCATTCTCGTCCTGTTTCGAGGCTTGTGGAGATCGCTGGGAAGTCGCACTATTGCTATTTGATGAGGCCAAGGTGCTGATGCAAACTGCCAAAAAGGGTCAAAAAGGGTCAATGATCAGCAATGTGTTTACGGATGTTTACGGCATTTGACACAGACGTTTTAACATTCACACATATTTACCCCCTGGTAATTTAACATAGCTATTGAAAATGGCCCATTTGTGGATTTACCCATTGAAAATGGTGCTTTTCCATAGTTATGTTAGTGTTTTTTGTATGTTTACCAGAGGGTATCATATTCACAAGAATTTTGAATCACAGCATCCAATCCTCCAAGTTTCCAGGCAGAGCCGAGCATGCTGACCTATAGCAGCGTCATCAGCAGCTGCGAGAAGGGCCACGACCTCGGCTGTGGCAATGGTCATGGCAAAGCACAATGCACCACCATCCAATATCTCTATCAACATCTATCAACTGTGTGGGGAATGTTTAAACAAACAAATGCCAGAGATGAAAGATCATGAAACATTTTGAAACAGAAAGGCAATTCAGCTTTTTCACTCAACATCTTCTGGAATGACCACCAGTCACTATCAGACTTGAAATATCTCTGCCATGCAAACATGTGAGGGTTCCATTCGAAATATCCAGGTCGACAGTGGCAGATGGCTTTGCACTTCCTGGAGTTGATGCACAGGTGCCGATCCTCGATCCAAACGGATCCTGAATGCTGACATTTTTGGACTGAAAGTGAAGATGAAATTGATGAAATCAATGAAGTCCAAGTTGATATAAACCACTATAAACCCAGTATAGTGGTTCCATGAACCATAACCATAAACCATAACTATGCAGTGGGCCATGCCAATATGCAGTGGTGCATCCCTCAGCATCCCACAGCATCCAAGGTGCTCCAAGAGACCCAGCGAGATCACCGTGAACGGCGTCATTTCTGCCTGCGAGAGGCGCGGTGAGGTGTCACCCCCTTGGGGCCTTGGGGACATGAAAGATACGGATGGGATCAACTGGGATCAAATGGCCAAAAAAAACATCAAAAAATATCAGGAATCAGAAGAAAAAACCAGAATAAACCAGATATGATGGGCTTAAATCACTGGTTTTGAAGATGTTTGAGGTTGAAAATGCTGAAACAAGCCCGTTACATGAAGAAGTCAATGAACATCGAGCTTCAGTTGGCCTGTCCGTATCGCGCCGGGTTGGGCCGTGTTGCACCGTCAAGGACTTCAATGTGGCAGAAAGCACTTCATCTTCTTCACCAGTTGCCATCCTGGCAGCTGCAACCAACAGTGACTCAACTGGATGGTTTCATGACAGGATTGAAGTGAAACCTGTTGCACATTGATAGAGGAGGCATCACCATTTCTTCAGGAGTGTCGTGGAGCTCAGGTGGTGAGTTACAGCAGCGCCATCAATGCATGCAGCAAGAGCGTTCAATGGCAGTTGGCACTGCAACTCTTGGTGACTCCCAAAGATGCCGCTGTGGCTGCCTTTGCGTCCACCCTGACTGCTTGTCAGGCTTGGGTAGAAAGGGTCGCCGTTTCCTGCACATCTTGGTGGCATCACATGATGCAGATGACTCAACAGAAATGACATGAAACGACATCATGACATCATGTTGAAGTTGTGGTAGTTGTGATAGTTGTGTTGATATTAGGATTGGGAGGTCGTTGGCTCCTGGTTGTGGCTTTGTTTGTTGTGGCTTTGTGTGTTGCGGCTTTGTGTGTTGTGGCTGTGGGTGGTGTGTTGTTCGTCGGCGCTTGAGGCAGCTGGGCAGTGGCAGCCGGCGCTCGCTGTCTTCGCGACGATGGCGAGACCAACGGCTTTGTGCATCGCGGCGGCGATGGAGACCTGTGAGAAGGGCACCCTGGCACCGATGGGGTCAGAGGTGGACTGATTGTACCACAAAATCGCATGTATTGCGCAGGTATATCATGTGTATTGTGACTTTATGCTACTTTATGTTAATGATTGCAAGTGTATGATCCAAAACGTTGACCCGAAGATTGGATGGCTCAGGACTAAACATGGCCAAACTATGCCAAACTTACATCTACACGAGTCTACACGGGCCCAAACAGACCCTGTTCAGACGTGGTGAATAGACTCAGTGGATCTCAGCAGGCTGGGTAACAGCTTCAGCCAATACTCAGGCGGTGCTTTCTCAGCAGCAGCTGAACTTTTGGACAAACTCTTTGCGCTTGAGCATCCATGGGCTCTACTGAAAGACGTCCTCTAGTTGGCAGATGTAATTTCACTTAATTTGTACAGTCAGAGTTGCTGGAAACCAGTAACTGCATGTAAATCCCACTGTCTGATGTAACTGATGTATTTTAGTTTTTGGCTCCAGGGTTGCCAAAAAGGGACTGCAGCTGCGCGATCAGGGCGCGTTCAACCTGTGCGTCTTCCAGCAGCAACGAGGTCGAACGAGTGCTCGAGCCGATTTCAGGTGACACTGCGGTCACTGCGGTGGGTTTGGTACTGCCCTCAGTGCCCTCAGCATTTTGAAACTTCTGTGGGTTACTCGGTTACTCTGGGTTACTCTAACAAGGTTGTTGAATCGAACCCTTTATCCTCTTGTAAAGTCTTTTGAGCTTGCCAACAGTCCTAGAAGATCCTAGAATACAAGAATCAATAAGAATCATCAGAAGCAGAAGATAGCAGAAGCTATTTGCCTCGATGTACCCTGCCCTATGCACTGATTTCAGGGGCCAGTGCAGTCAAAACAGGGTACAGTCGGGTGAAATCAAGCTGTAATCAGATTCACAAATCAGGTGACCGCACTGAAGCGGCATGGTGTTGAGGCGGTCACCAAGCCACAAAAAAATCACCTCAATGCAGTCCTGGTAGCAATTCTCTTGAGCTGATCATGTTTTTGCGCTCGTGGGCCTATTTTATTTTGGAAGCCAAAAGAATCACATTCACTGCTGTTTCGGACTTGAGTGTCTGATGGGCCAAGGCGGCCAAGGCGGCCAAGGCTATTTTTTTGGTTGTTTCGAAAAAAATGGAAGCTTGGCCAGGCTCGTTTGCAACGTCTAGCGGAAGCTGGTGCTGTGCCATGGCACTCAGAAATCGAAGAAAAGGACACATCTTCTTTGTCAGCAAATTAATCATATCAACATATATCAACTTATGAAGTAAGGCCCAGTAGTGCTTGCATTATCTTACATTAACATCATTTAAGTATCATTTAACTTCTCTTCTTTGTAGCAGAATTGGGGGCTCAATTTCTGCGTCCATGGCTTGGGCTGAGGGCTTCGGACTCTGGCATGGCTTTGAGCCAGGGCCTCGATGGGACAGAAGTGATTTTTCCAGGGATACAGCTGTTTTTAATGGTTTTTAGATGTTTTTAGTCACTGCAGCTGCAATCTATTGCAAGTTACTGCAAGTTCAACTGATCCAATACTGATCCAATTGAGACTGATGGATCCAAATTCAACTGTTGGATGGAGAAAACAATTGATACTGAATTCCAAAATCATCAAAATCCAACTTCCTAAATCCATCAATCTAAATCCGACATAGGTCACCACGTCAAGAGTTGCCCAGCTGGTACCTGGTACCTGGTCCACCTGCTATAGCTAAGAACTCCGAGAACGTGCTCAGCGCCTGGCACAGCTCGAAAATTGGAAGGTTTGGAAACCAATGGGATCAACAACGGGAAGGGAAATCAAGATGACTAAACCACAAGAAGTACCGGTATCCATCACTGTCATCACTTTCCTCAGTTTCATCACAGTGTTTGCGACGCAGAAGAAAAAAGAAACGTGAAATGAAGTGAACCGTGACCCCGACAGGCAGCAGAGTTGGCTGACAATCCAGCAGTTGGGTTGCCCAGCAGATTTTTCAATTTTTATATAAATAAATATGATAATAATGACAATATATATCTATATATACGTGTATATGTTATATATATATATATCTATATATTATGTTTTGCAGGATCTCATCATCTCATCCCAAACGAACGACCCATTTGCAGGGCAACCAGCAGATTTACCAAGGTGGCGGACCTTGTGGGTCGGCTTTCAGAGCCAGGAGTGTCTTCGAGCTCAGCAGACCTTGCGACCAAGATGTCAAGCTGTGTCAAAATCACAGGCCCCAGAAAAATGATGAACCATTTTTTATCATTTTTTTGATGGTTGGTGTTAATTAAACACCAATGTTAATTTAATGGCTCAAATTAAATGATGAACACCAACCATGGTTTTGTTTCTCTAATCTAAATGGTTGGTGTTAACTTAACACAATGACTAGAATGAAATATCGTTACATACTTTTGACTGTAGTAGAATATGGGTTTGCCAGAAAATGGGTTCTTCTCAAATGGCAGTATTAATATTGTATTGACTGGGCAAACCATCATCAATATCAATCAATGATAAACCACCAAAAAATCGTTTTTTCAGACAGGTTTTTCAGATGATCAGTGAGACGTGTAGAGTTGCTATTCTGAGGCTGGATGACATCGGTGCGCTGTTGCGCTCCCAGGTTGGAAACTTCGTGTTTTTTCCATGGTTTTCCATTGATTAGACAACTGTTGTCATTATGTACTATATGGGGATGGGTCAAAACCTATGATTACCATTTTTGGAGGCGTAACCATCCATTAACCAGCTTTTTTTTTGGTACCAAGGGCATCAGAGTTTTGACCCATAACCATATTCCCTGGCGCGCTCCCCTTTGCGTCTGCCGGGGTATCAGAGTTTTGACCCATAACCATATATAAAGATGGTTGATATTTCAACTAGTGTACGTTGTATTATAATTATCAATATGTATACATTATAATATATACATAATAGTCATACATACAGGCACCTGACAAAGTCGTTCCTGTTTTAGGGAAAAACCGTTGTACCGTTGGGGAAGTGTTTTGGAAAAGTCGTGCCCTTAGCAAGAACGCAGGGGACTCTGGAGTCTGCTTATGCCACTCAAAAATGCGCTAGGCATGACTTAAGCGTGACATTGCCGTTTCTCTATATAGCCTACATGTATTGTGCGTAACATTATGATGCTTCTGATTGTTTGTGGTTTCATTCTGTTATCACTATTAATACTGGCCATGTTTTTGCTGGTGGAATTTGTGAAAAATGTGAGCGTAAGAGATGGAACATGCTTTGAACATGGGAAACACGAAAACTGACAAACCCGGTCAATGATATGCAAGACAGTCCTACTTGTCTTCAATCAATTTGTAAAGCTTTGATAGGCTTGCACACCGTACGAGCTCTCTCTGCATTCCTTTCCTTCCCGGCTGTTGCCCTTGCGACATCCTCAGCTTTGGATCATGTTACTGTGCTTTCAATAGCTACCCTCTGGTTATTTAACATAGCCATGGAAAATAACCCATTTATAGATGGTTTACCTATTAAAAATGGTGATTTTCCATGGCTGTGTTAAATAACCAGATGGTAGATGTTTTGAGCATTTTGCTGTCGCAATAGGAACCCCCATGGACGCCCTCCATGTGAGGAGGGCCCCGAGTTTTTGTTCCATGGATTTCCATGGTCATTTTGCCACAGATTTTGCTCAGGCTGTCATCCACTTGTGAATGGCCCTGGCCGGCATCTGCCAACTTCTCCACCGACACTTTAGAGGTCACTTTGTCGATGCGAACAGGGCGGACCATGATGGATACAGATTATGGCCATTCTGGATTCATATTATGTATACATGATGTAGATATACATACCACATGTATACATATACATATATAAATATGTATATATATATTAATATATATTAATATGTTTCATATAGTATATATATTTATATATATATATATATTATATGTATATATGTGTGCCATGTATGATACATTCCGCCTCTTGGAGTCACTGGTGCTTTGAAACTGCAGCGTTTCTGCAGGCCTTGGTGCCTGCTTTGCAATGGCTGCTTGGTCTCTGCGAGACCTTCCCAGTGGGCAACTCTGGAGATTCACGTCACCATCGTATCCATTGATATCCCATTGATATCCATTGATATAAAGATGTGTTGTGCATAATGTGTTAGGTATGATATGTTAACATGTCATGTATTCATATCATTATATATGATATATCATATATCATACATCATATATCATATATCATATATCATACATCATACATCATATATCATATATCATATATCATACATCATACATCATACATCATATATCATATATCATACATCATACATCATACATCATATATCATATATCATATTCCTTTGTTATAGTTGTATATCGTATGTTAGACACCCCAACACCCCAATCTCACCCATTGCTAAGGTGGCAGCTGCAGAGGGTCCTGTCTCCGGCGTTGATTGTCTTGCTCGGGCGTCTCAGCACACGCACGGCACGCCATGGCCTTGCCACCATTGCCACCTGCCTGGCGCATGGCGTCACGCGCCCGGCAGACCAAGAACTGAGGCGAACTAAACTCAGGCTACTAAGGACCGGAGGTGTTTTCAGCAAAGATTCTTGGGGTTATAAGAGCTGCCTTTTGCTGGTCATTTATGGCTCAAGGTGGGTTCTGCCTAGCTGGAACTATCGCCCACCTATTTTTGGAGTCACTAGTCATCGACAAGTGCTGCAAGGCACCTGTGATCAGTGAATATCAGTGTTCAGTTTGCACAGCGGGTCATTCACACACTAAATCCATTGGTTTATCACCAGTTTCCCCAGAGAAATGGCACTTTTTATGGGGCATCCCTCGTTTTCAGATAAGCCCATGTTGATCTGCGATTTTGACATCATGATACCAACAGTCTCATGGCAGGCCCACAATGCTCGTGGTGCAGTGGAAAATCTGTGTGAAGTCCACCTTCATCGATATCGAGGAACGATATCGTTGGGCACGTTTCACAGCATGAAACCGTCTGTTACGCACAGTTTCCAAGGGATATAAAACGATGTTTCCCAAGGGATTTCCAAACGGTCCTTCATCCCTGGGATCAAAAGGTCTAATCTGGGGAAAGAGATACGGAAGATGATAGGCAAGCCGCTATAAGTGCCGCTTGCCAACATCAACCTTGTGATTTGTATGGTGAACAATGGTTACTTGGGCCCCGGAAACAACACAGATACGCAAAATAGACAAGGAGTGGTTGGAGGAAACAGCATAAACAGCCATTTCAAGGCCAGGTGGCATAACATGGCCAGTCTTCAGTGGGTTCTTTGAGTTATTTTGAGTTCCAGGTGATCATTTTTCCCAACATTTTCACCATTTTTCCACCTCGGAGGAGAATTGCCCAAAGCCACTACGCTCCAACAGCGAGCCGATCTTGACAGCGAAGCACGATATCAAGGACGACATGAGCCTCCAGAGCCCATGCCCAGACCATGCCCAGACCATGGCAAAAGGTGTGTCTCAAACTTGGCGTTGTTTGGCCCGATATAAACATATATAGCATATATTATATGTATATAATTATATATATATATACATTTATACATATCATATATATATACATATCATATATGTATATAAACGATCTACAAAGTGTAAGTACCATGATAGCCTCAGGCATGACCAGCGCAGGAACGTGGCCCCATTGAGATTTCATCGGCTCCTTTGAAAAGCAACGAGGCCCTCCTGGCCATTGCCCAGCCGATGAGACTCAGATGATACTCATATGTTATCACTTATAAAGTTATCACAGATTGTCATAGTGTATAATCATGTAATTCATGTATAATCATATTGTCATGAGGTCAGTTGATGTCAATCGATGTAAATTTGAATAAACTTGATGTAAGTTGTGGATTATAAATTAGATCATGCTATTTGTGGATTATTTGCATCGATTCGCTGTCACTATTTGGCCCCAGGTGCTGTGCAGGCATTTGGACAGCGGCTTGGGCTTGGGAGGCGAAGCGGAGCCTCCACAGGACGTGGCCGACGTGGCCGACGTGGTGGACGTGGTCGACGTGGCACTGGCGCCAGAGGACGATGGAGAATCAGATTCAGGCGGCTACAGAATCTACACACGATGAAGTTCGTGATTGAAAGGATTGAAACAAAGTGGAGCGGCAGAGGAAATCAACATTTTGTAATCAACAATCATAAACAATCATAAACAATCACAAGAACAGAGAATAACAGAGATGCATCCTACATCCTGCAGTGGAACATGTGGGGAGATGGTAATGGATTTAGAGAGAGTGAGAGCATCAATCCAGAATAATCCATACACCAATCCACACTTTCCATCAATTTTCAACTTGTGAATCTGGATGGCATTGGGACATTGGGACAGGTCGTTATAGCAAGGGCACACGAGGTCATCCTGAAGTTTGCAAGCGGCCCTGTGTGCCGCGTCAGCATTGGTGACTTTCTCAAAAGATATCTCCATTGATCCTGGGAATACAATTGGACTATTCTATGTATTCTATCAGTCATCAATGATCATCAATCATCAGTTATCAATGTTCATGAATTGCCAATCAACGATAATCAACGATAATTAATGATCACCAATGCATGAATTTTCTAATTGTCTCATATCTTTCCCATGAATTCCTTCGTTTTCCTTTCCCGCATTGGGAAACACGCAGTCTAGGTGCACTTTTTTGCCCGGGGATGCGCGCTTGGCGCATCCTGCAACTACTGCCATGCGGAGCATCCCAAGAGGCCCATCAGTTTGGACAAAGCCCAAAGGAGCTCTGAGACGATGACTGGATGACTGGATGATTTTGGCTGGCTGGATGATGATTTTGGATGATGGATTGGATGATTTTGGATGATATTATGGATATACTATGATATGTATATATATATAGATATATAGATCATGCTTGATGGTTGATGAATGGTGGTTAATGATGGATATGTTCATGGTGGTTAATGTTTTCTTTTAAATGGCAGATGATTTTTAGGATGATTGGATGATTGGATGAGGATTTGAATGATGATTGGATTGGCACATCCATAAATGTATGGCGTATCCGCTATCATAATGTGATTGGCAAATCCAAAACCATCCGAGTCGAAGAAACAGTTTAGGTTGGAAGATGTTGGAAGATTCACTGCAGGAGGCTATTAGGAAAAGTCGAAGAGCAGCACTTGCTCGAAATTGTTCCTCGGTATGTGCCAAGGCACATCTTGGTGACACATGATGACTCTTTTTGTTGCTATTGGTGCGTTTTTGTTGTTCGTGCGTGGTTTCAAAAGGCACTTAATAGTGGAATCATGTTGAAGCATATTCGCAAGAGGTAGAACAGCTGCAGGTCTGCAGCATTCGGTTCTCGCAGAGTAAGCAATTGCCTAGGAAAAAACTGATGTATATAACTTTAAAAAAAATATAATTAATGTGTATCTGTATCACAGGTTAGAGCCCAAAAATGCTGAGGTTTTGGGTCAATTGCGAGACAGGGCTGAGAGGAAAGGATTCTACAAAGAAGCTGGACACATTCTCCAGATGTTGGTTGGAGCCTAAGAGATGCACTGGTTCAAACCACTCTAAAGGTCCCCACGCAAATCTGATCAAGTTGGATTTTCACTTCAGGAAGAGCGCTGGACGCTTCTACACAATCCAGCGCGGTTCTCAGCTCTCCTTGATTTTTTGATACGGCGCAAACAATTTGAAGAGAAAGCATGTTGTCAGCATCTTGGCAATTATATTGGCTATGAGCCACAGTATAGCCACAATTGTGTATGATCAAATGATCAATACTGCACATTTTGCGGTCATGCAAGGACTTGCCAGCCTCTTGGTCTCCGGGTGAGCAGCAGACTATGCGAAACTTGGAGTTCGGTTGTTGGGGACTGGGATGGACCGGGGATCAAGGGTTTTATATGTTTTATCAAGTTTGAAGATGTGTGCAACTGTTCGTTGGGTATTCCATGGTAGTATACAGATGTAACAATGTAAACAGCATATTACCATATCTTATGGAACATGATGGAGCATGTTTTTCATGCTCTTAGAAATACAGGACGGCCATGGACGGCCCCAAGTGCAAGTGCTAAGGACGAGTTTTGGGAAAGATGACCTTCGCAGGGTTGGTTGGCCTAGCTCTGGCCAGGTCTTCTGTTCCTTGGCAGAGTAATAGTAGTGACACATAGTGACCATTCTGGGCTTGAGCACAGATATTTGCAGACCCCATTGCCTTGGAGTTTGCATATCAATGTACATATGTACTGTGTATATATATATATATATACACATTATTTCCCTGCATTCGTTTGCATTCTGTTTCGACAGAAGTTCAGGAGCCATCAGACAAGTACTCCCAAGACGTGAACGGCGCTTTGGAACAGCTACGACAGGCAGGAGCACGTCAAGTGGTGGATATTGTGGATATCGTGGATATCGATATCGTGGATGCACTAGGATGATATGTGATGATATGATGATATATATATATATATGTGTGTTACCTATTTTATATATACGATCATGATGTACATCTGAGTATTTTTTTGTGTCACTTGACCCAGCCAGGCGCTGCCAACCATCGTCGAGGATTGAGTTTTTTACATCGATCTCGTGATCCGTATGATTGAGTAGGACCTTATTAGTAGGACAATGTTAGAAAAGTGTGTAAAGTAGGCCTTGGACAGTCAGAAACTTAGGTTCAGTGGAAGGTCGCGAAGACCACCTGTTCCACTTGTTCAGCTGGCTGGGAGGCAGAGCTTATACGATCTTATACCTCGTGGATTCGTTTCACGAAAAATTGCCATGGTTTTTCATCTTGTTTTCAGAGAAAAAGGAGGCTTCAACATGTCTGAACTACATTAATAAATATTAAGATACTATGAGCATACTAGAAACATACTATATTAATCTACTACGAACATCTATCAGCCTATCAGCTCTACTTCCAAAGTCCAACGCATACTATCCCTCTAGACACTGGGCTGACCAGTGGAATCGAAATTGATGAAGTCAATGGCAGTCGGAGCTTCGCGGGTTCCCGCCAACACTCCCATCTGCGGCCGCGATGCAGCATCCTGTTTTTTTTTTCAAGACCCACCATGCTCCATTAAAAGGATGATTTGCAATGTTTCATAATGTTTCATAATGTTTCTAATAAAAATTGTGACGATTAAGAATTTGCTATGGTGGGTTCAAACCATGGCAATTTGCCATGGTTTGTTGCCTGCGGCCGAGAGCATTGTTGGAACGGATGTTCGATGCCTGAATGGCTTCGGTACTGCCCTTGAAACCATTGATCAACTTATTCGCGCGAGAAATGATCCAGTGAAATTCTCGAAAATGATCAAGGAAAAATAAGGAAAACAAGAAATTAAGGAAAACAAGGAAACTATAGGAAACTATGAATATCTATGAATCAACAATCATCAACAATCATCAACAGCACTTTTGTCCAATGGGTGAAAACCCAAGGAGATCATTTCTTGCTGCCAACGGAAAGGTTGCTGAGCCACTGTCTTTTCACTACTGTTAGATGTGCTAGTGTTTGGGCCATTCATTTGGCATGGTTGTGTTATGTTGTGTTTGTGTTTGTCCAAGTTGGTCTAAACCGGACCCTGAATCACAGTTGCGCCCAGTCGCCATTCGATAGTTTTTTTGCGTGTCTGAAGTGGGATTCCTCGCATTCGACGATGCCTAATAGTGCTTGTGAATCGCAATTTTTTAGCCTTGATAGCTGTAGGATCTTTGTGATAAATGCAGAGGAATAGTCAGACTGAAGCAGACCGATAGAAGACGCAAGACGTCGTTTACTATGCAGAATGTCTCAACCGTTGGAAGGCATGCGAATGTCCTTCAGGTTGTTTCTGTTGAGGGGGCTTCACTAGGACCCTTCTCCTGATTTTTGCTATGCAAAGCGGGGCAAACAGGCCTATGTTTTTTCGTAGATGCCATGGATGGCAATGCAATAGACTCAGAGGCGTACTAGGCCAACGTTCATGAGCCACTTGTATCCCCACGTGTATCCACTTGTCGCTTGTTGGCATTTAGCTGTCAGCTGGTTCCCACTGGTCCCCTTACTTCAGATATGTTCAGATTGAGATTGTTACAGTGAGCATCAAGGCTCATCGCCCTGTGCGTCTCTCACAGAAATCTACCAATCTAGGCGATCTAGGCGATCTAGGCGATCTAGACGATCTAGGCGATCTGTCCGCGATCTGTCGGCGATCTGTCGCTTTAATTCCTTGCCTCTATAGGCGCACTCTGCACCCTGGGAGTGCATGCGCGTGCTGCTAGTTTCAATCCGTTCCCGAACAGAGATCTGGCGCAAAATGCTGCATCCAGAGACGTGGACGCATTTTTGTTCCCCATCAATTTTATTTCGGTAGAAAATGTTGTACACTGTACACCATCTTATATTCATTGTGTACTATTGAATCACGATTGTTTCATTGCTTCTGCAAGATAGATCATGATGATATCCATATCTTCCACTTCAGCACCAGTAGGTGCTGCGGAAGTATCGGACCTTTCGGACCTTTCCAGTGGAAGTTGTTTCATGTTTCCAGGCTTTAATGGGAATAGTACAGGAATAATAATATATATATAATTAAATTATATTATATAAGTAGCATGTATATAATATTACGCGCAAACACCCCGATTCGCCCACACCCCTTCTATGCTGTACACTTGGGGATATCAAACGTTAGACTTTACATTCAATTGGGAAGATCAACAAGGGTATTTAGGGAATATAAATTTCCCACCCCCGTTAAACTTTACATTCATTGAAGATCTTCAATAAGGGTTTAATTCTCCCACCCCCGTTAAACTTCTACATTCATTGAAGATCTTCAATAAGGGTTTAATTCTCCCACCCCCGTTAAACTTCTACATTCATTGAAGATCTTCAATAAGGGTTTAATTCTCCCACCCCCGCTAAACTTCTACATTCATTGAAGATCTTCAATAAGGGTTTAATTCTCCCACCCCCGCTAAACTTCTACATTCATTGAAGATCTTCAATAAGGGTTTAATTCTCCCACCCCCGTTAAACTTCTACATTCATTGAAGATCTTCAATAAGGGTTTAATTCTCCCACCCCCGCTAAACTTCTACATTCATTGAAGATCTTCAATAAGGGTTTAATTCTCCCAACCCCGTTAAACTTCTACATTCATTGAAGATCTTCATAAGGGTTTAATTCTCCCAGCCCCGTTAAACTTCTACATCCATTGAAGATCTTCAATAAGGGTTTGATGATGATGGTGATGATGATGATGATGATGTGGTGTAAGAGACTCGCACAGGTCCCTATGCTGTGCGTGCCGATATAGAACATGAAGTTAGCCATGATGCAAAAAACTCCCATTTTTACCACGTCTTCAGCACATACGAAGATGGCCGCGGACAAGCGCGGGCAAATCAAGGTGTTTGGCCGTAATATTACAATATAGTATACTATATTATATATATATATTCATATATGCTTTTGAATATATGGGAATTTCATGGAAATGTGGACCACCAATTTCGCCTTACCTCGTCTCAGCACAAGGTCCGACCGCTGGAACTTGCTTTGGAGAGGCCTGCTGATCGTGTTTTGGAGAGGCTGATCCTGCTGTGGGAAGCACCAGAATATATATATAATAAATATATAGTTATATACAGTAGCAATGCACAGAATATAGAATATCTAAATCAGATAACAACAAAGTCAACATAAATGCATAGCCTGTAGTACAGTATTGACACTATTCATATGTATTGATGAGATGTGACTTGCACTAGACTCGACTTGCATTGCGAGTTCCTCAGCGGACACATCCAAGACGCTTTTTGTAGAGTTCGCTTCTCAGTGCTGTGCCATTTGTGTTAGGACAAAAACGTGTATTGTCTATTGGTGGCATGAGTCTACAAAGTCTATACAGGAACTGCATCATGTAAGGAGGAAATCCCTTTCAGGAGCACCGAGCCTTCCTTCTCCAGTTCTCCAATTCTTCCAATTCTCAAACTGGAGCCAATCACTCGAAGCTGTTTCACATTGGATCTCCTTTTCAATCTATGCTTAAATTATGATTAACTCTGCAGGATTTTGTAAAAAAAAACTCGACATTCCGTCACAGCCGATCACTGCACTGGCAAGCAGCTAGCAGCAGCAGGCACTGACAGCGCTGAGGCCCTTGCTTCCTTTGCGAGACCTGGAGCGCTTTCTCTTGCAGACCAGCACTGAGATGGAGGAGCCTCTGACAGAATACTCATTTCACTTAGCACCAAAAAAATATCACATGAGTTTTCCGTGCTTTAACTCATTTAATCTCATTTAATCTCATTTCCATATATTTCATATGTTTCTTTTTTGCGGTAGAGGAGGGCACGGGAGGGATTTTTGGATTATGAAGTGATTCATCGAAACTTTCTTTGAGGGGACAACCCATACGCAACACCTTCGTTACAGGACATCGGTACTAGTATCATTCGAAACTTATTCACAGTAATTCATAGAGACCTAGACGTAGTTTAACTTTATTCTCTCTTCAGCATCATGATCTTCTTCCCGACTGTTCATCTTTTTGAGTTATTTTTTCCCTGCCGTTTTCAATCAATCTTTATGGATGAATAATGATGAATATTCTTAAGCCAATCTACATATTATAACTTTATTACCTTGTTTCTTATATGAGCAGGGAAGACACAATATTTCTAGACGTTTCCAATCCTAGAAATAATATGAAATAATTAATAATATGATATAAAATGCAACTCACTTCTTGACATCGATAGCTAGAGAAACAAATCCACAAATCCACTGTCCACTGAGGAGGGATATCTGGTTTGGTGTGCCAGTCTAAGAACATCATCTGAGCATCGCACTGGAACTCGCCATCGAAGTCACTTGGATCACTCCAAGGCCGTAGCGTGGTTGGACAGAGCCTGGCAGAACGGGATGCCTGGGTTGCCCAGTTTTTCAAGTCATTTCACCCCGGAAATGGGAAAAACACAACAGCTATAGTCACTATAGTCTATAGATGTCTATAGATGATTATAGATGTCTATAGTTATTAAATGGTATTAAATCTCATTAATCAACGCAAACGAAGAATATCGAAACATGAAAATTCACAGTTGGATGTTGGCATTTTGTGGGTTTCATATATATATAATATGTTTGACCATGTGGATTTGTTTGGGTTCCAAGGTCAGTTCACGAGGCGCTTTTTTTCTGCCGCTGAAGCGCCGAGCCTTTTTTGCGCCGAAGCCGAGTTCGAGTTCCACCGATGTCGCAGGTTCCAAGGAAGCCTGGCGGATTGTTTTTGCCTCAGAGATGGCAAACTGGAAGAGTTCCAAGAAATTGGTTGCGAAACTGGTTGCAACTGGTGTTGTGAATCTAGTTATCTCCCAGTTCCGGAGGCGCAAGTGAAAAGCTTCGACATAGTCGCAAAATTGTTGGCAACTTAATGCGGCAGTGGATTGGTCTGACAGCTGTGCCATGCTGTGCCACTCCACGTTCTCCGAGATGCTTTGGGCCAAGGCCTGTGCATACACTTGTCTATGAAGACGGGGAAGAAGCAAAGCTCTTGCAGTGAACTCAG